TCCCGCTGGTGATCCAGAGAAAGGAAAGAAGGTAAAAATTAAAGATTAAAAGTATAAATTTAAAAATTGCATCATTTTTATTTAAGCGAAAATAATTGTAGAATGTCAAGTACGTAAAATTCGTATTTCGTGCATGGAAGTACGCGGGAAATTCCGATCTCATGACGTGTGTGAACGTTGATACATAACCCACGTGATCTGACGTCACAATAGCTTACTATTTTTTGATGATACGGATTTACCGTTTCGAATCTGCTGAACTATAACTTGTATATCTATACTGTAGCGATCTCTGCTAATATTTTATAAAATTTTGACGACTTTTAATTTTTTTTCTATTTAATATTTTCGTCTATTTTTTAAACATGATTTTTCGTTAGATCTTTGTACAAAAGTGTGCACAGTGTCATACAATTGAAGCTGGTGGTAAACACAAAGTGGGACCCAATCTACATGGAATAATTGGTAGGAAAACTGGCCAGGCTGCTGGATATAGTTACACAGATGCTAACATATCAAAAGGTAGCTCTTACTATTAAAATACTTTTTGGTACTGTATTTTGAATTTTGAAATTTCATCTGCATATGTAATGTTTTAGGCATCACTTGGAATAAAGATACCTTGTTTGAATATCTTGAAAATCCAAAGAAGTACATTCCTGGTACAAAAATGGTGTTTGCTGGTTTGAAAAAACCACAAGAACGAGGTGATCTAATTGCGTACATTGAACAGGCATCAAAGTAAGCTTAATACCTGTTCAAGATGATAAAACACGCTAGACGTGTTCAGCGGGTATAGAGGAAACTAGTACTATTATCACTTCAGACCTCATGTACATCCCGCTACATCTCACTCAACTCATTCATTGATTCTCCCCCACTCAAGCGTTTTCAAAGTCTGAATAGTGATAAATTGTTAATTATAAATAGGTGTATCATGTATGTAACTATGTACATTGACAGGAGCCAGACTAGTATTAACTAGAACTGGCTCTGCTTCTTCATTAAAGATATTCTGGTGCTCTCTTACTGTGGCTGAGCCATATGTAGACTGTGCACTGTTATTTATTTGTGATTATACAATGTTTAAACTATTTGAAGAATTATCGAGCTGTAATACGAGAGTATGGAAATACAGATTCGACAATGAATTTGTAAAGCTCATTTTTTTCTTAGCAACCGAAAATAAGGTTCATTTAGATAAAAGATACAACAAAGTACAAAAAGGCAATAAAGTGATATGCTCTGTTGACAATTCAGTTATAAATTTTACTGATATTAAAAAAATTGTATTAATTATGGATATGAGAAAATAGTGTCAATAGTAAAAATTTAAGAGTTTAAACAATGAATGGAAGTACAATAAATTAAATAATGAAAACTTTGTATTGTGATATTTAAATGTTAAAAATCCATTTTAGAAGTAACAATTTCAATTTACATTTAAGTTAAGCTAGATTTGTATTACTGTGATAAGGAAAAGGAAGGATGCGGTTAAAACCACCGGGAAATAACGCTTTGTCCGGGATTTTATACAATAATTTAATCAAAACTACCGCATTTGGATTCAGTTGTTCGTGAAATTACATTCGTTACAGTTTTGATCGAGTTTATAGTTGCAATGGAAAATAGTTCCGATTTTTGTGGAGAAGACAAAGTATTGAGTGATACTAGTAATAGTGTTGTGAGAAAGAAAGAAAATTCTCTGAGACTTCGTTTAGAACGAGTCCTTAGTTCTGGAGCTCTGAAGAGTCCAAAAAGTCCATTGTATACTTCGAGTTCTCAAAGTTCGAATCCTAATCATAGTAGCTCGTATGTAAGAGAGAGACACTATTCGTGGCACTTGCGTTCTCCTAAGAAGAAAGCATCTCGCACATCGTGTTCGTCGGAAAGTAGTGATTCACTTTTGTCTTCGAAGTCAATCGTAACTAGTAACACAAATTCGCCAATTAGTCCAGTCGATCTGGACAATTGTTTTTCAACAAGTTACGTCGACGAAGGGTAAGTACTTTACAAAATTAACACTAAACAGAATCGAATTAGTTTAAACGTAAGTTGGTACGAACATAACAAATACAGGTGTATATTTACTATTTTTTTTTATTATTTCTTTCGATACAAGTTGAAAATACGTATAAATACAAGACGTGGTTTTGTAAATTTATTGGTGATGTAATCTCTTTTTTACGTGGAAAACAACATATTAGCCTATCCGCAGTACTAGTCACTTTCGAAACCTTATTCAAATTAGAGCCACGTGTCAGAATGGTTTTACGAAACGAACAGATTATACGACGTACATACGTGCAAACGTTCGTACACTTTTAGTATCAGATAGGTGGATAAAAATTAAACAACCTTCGATGAATTATCAGACGATAGAGAATTTATATAAACGTGAAGCGTAAAAACGGAACGTACATCGGTAACGACGAACGGATGGGTCGATGCAGCGCCGGCGCTGCAGAACATAGCCAAGAAGACGAACATCCCCCCACCATATTTACTTGCTCGTCGAAACGATCGCGTCGACGTGTGCCCACTTCTCCATCCAGCGTTTAAAACAGAGTGAGAAGAAAAGAGTCTCTGTCTACTTCTCTATCTCTTGTTCTCTTTCCACCTTGTATCTCGTCCCTGTCTCTTGTCGTACGAATGCACCTCGTCGTGCTCCGCAGAACACTACACGGAGCGCCTCGAACCAGTATAGAACGAATTGTTGCAAAGTAGAGCTATTTTCGCGTTTGCCTCCGCGTGAGGAATTAGGAATTGAATAAAACCTACACAGGTATGTACCAAAAACATCTACTGATTGTACCTGAAATCGTGCCTGATTCGCGCGTTCATTTGTTTGCTTGAATGTATAATATTTCGTAGCTAGAATTTCGGATATATCGTAGTGCGACATGACTGTAGAATGGATAACGATGACAGTGTCAACTAAATTGCCGCGCTCTGAAGTCGTTTCTTAAAAATTATGCAAACTGTCGCGCGCGCCTAGCGCAAAGCTCGCGCCTAGGTCACAACTCTTCGAAAGCTTTGCTTGGACTCTTCCAAATATCCAAACATTATCGAAAAATCTCGACATACATTTTTACACTTACTTTTTCGTGTTTTACTGGAGTGTCATTTTTTTTCTTTTATCGTAAAAATCTGACTGTTTCTTTTGAAAAGAAACGAGTGGTGTGTGTGTTAACCATTACGTCTCTTATTCCTAGCAGATTTAAAACAAAACTTCCAACGATTTATTCATTGATGTAACGGTTTCTTTCGTGTACCGCGATGAAAACTTATCGCGATGAGTATAATTTATCCACTTTAAGAATACAAATCATACATCTACGGTTAAAACGTATTTTTCCAACGTATTATTTATACATCTATATCCATAAATATTGCATTCTTGATGTTTAAGTAACGATTAAAAATTGCTTCGTATATTAAAAAGGAGAATACTACTTGTAGTCTTTGCTTGTTTATCCCAAACAAAATCTCACTGTTTTCTAAACGTAATATTCGTCAAAAGTGTACAGGACAGCCAAAAAAGTTTTTCCAATCAGAAACCAGAGTGGATTTTATACGTTTTAGTCTTTCGTGCATTTGAGAATGGCCTCGGGCAAAAAAGCATGATTTAGGGCACACAATGTTTTCTAGAGTACTTAGACACTCATACGTGCACATACACATGCGCATGCATACGCAGCAGGAGAAGAAGTGTATATATGCTCATTTGTACACACGCGTATTCGTGGCTATACCTATTTGTAGCCTGCATCATTGGGCAAAAAGTAGGTCTAGGGAATCAGCTGACCAAAAGAGGCGCGTGCGCTTCACTAAAAGCAGAACACATTTGAAACGCCCATTATACACCTACTCTCGGAATCCCGGAAAAAAGGAGTCCTCGAAAACGCGGACACTGATAAACCTACGAAAACTTTTCGCTTAATCAATCGCTGATTATATGTATATGCACATACACATGCACACACATATGAACAATGTTTTATATTTAGAAATATAGGCCATGCATGTTTGATTTATACAGTGTAGCTTATATGTACTATATTGTACATATATATAGAGAAGCATCGCAACCCCTCTACTTTTTTTTACAGAAAAGAAATCTGACGACAAAAGATACAGCAACGCACGCAAATTTATAATTCGAACGTAGAAATTCTGTTGCAATCGTGATTACATTTATGTTTCTCTTGGGAACTTTGCTTTTGCGAAAATATGCGAAGTTTTGATCTGTACCCGCGTATTGTTCGAACGTGTTATGTCAGCGCACTTTGCGCCATGACCGAGTGAGCGTTTAATATGAATAAACATAGTCAAGGTTGATGTAATATTAACGTAAAAAAAAACAGTCGGATTTTTTCAAACTGTACGTGAATCGTGACCTGGCGACACTCTCTCTCTCTCTCTCTCTCTCTCTCTCTCTTTTTCTCTTCGTTGCATAAAACGGCTTTCTTAAACAAAAGAGGATTTGCTAGTGAAAGGAATTTCGCTGTTAGTCATGAGAAAAAAAGTAGTGCAAAGACATAGGGGAAAATCTCATTACTTAACCATGCTACAGCTGGCTTACAATGTACAATCATAAAATCGTTAGTCTTCCTTCGAGTTCAGCCTCTTTCTTTTTTCACTTCGACACACGATAGGCAAACTGGGTTGAAAGTTTTTCAAATCAAACATTCTAACATTTCTAAAAATCTCCACTTTTAGTTCAAACTTATTAATAACTTAAATTGAACAATTGAAATATAGAATTAAAAAAAAAAATTCTAAAAAGAGAGCGAGGGAAGATTGATTAGTTTGAAAAAATATTAAGCACGCAATGGAAGTAAGTCTGAGCTGTGTATCAAGATAATTAGCACATAATTTTCTTTTTCTTTCCTGGCGCGTTGCTTCCGCGTGTATAAACTTAGTTGCATGAAAATTCACGCGTGTGTACTCTTGCATCTGACTGGGGTCGTGAAGAATTAGTGGAAGAAAAGGAACTCTCCCGATTAATTATTCGCTAATGGTAAATGATTCAGTGATGAAGTACTCGCCGCAGCAGCAGCAGCAAAAGGAAAGGAAGTCGGAGAGCGAGGTTTGCTCGATTGACGCGACACCGAATCGTGGGGCACGTCGTCACTCGGCATCGGCGGAGTTTAAGAATTCGTCGAGTTCGTCGGTGAGGAGCGCGATCTGTCGTTCGCCATCGACGGGGATATTCGCATGGATGCGCGTGTTCCGGCTCGCCTCGATGCTTCACCAGGTCGGCTGCTAGAGCTGAGCCGTGCTGTGAGAGCAAGGAGAGCCCTCGTGCAGAGAGCCCCCTCAACAATCATAGATGTATTTAACGAATTAAAATTTACGAAAAAAAAAAAAAAATACGAAAGGACCGCGTACACGTGTGCGTGCGTGCGTGCTTGCGTGCGTAGTCGTATCACGCGCATAGTCACACGTGTACAGGTGAGCCCGACGACCCTTTTCTCACTCGGTCGTGATTTACGTATCCATAGGGTGGTCGGTTTGTAACGTAGCTGAACCGACGGTAGCTGAACCATAGTGCGTTACGCAATTACGTGTTAACAGCCACGGGCGTCGTACTGGCTACGTTACGTCTACACTTATATGTAGAGAGACGAAGTTACATGTACGCGTGTCCTCGCGTATACGCGCATACCGGTAAACGTTTCTTGTAAGTGCGTATACACGCGTGTGCATCGTTACACATAGAGCCGCAGTCCCGGGTTCCAGTTAATCGATTGGTCGTTTGCCAACCCATTAATTAGCGCGTAAGTCCTCGAAATCGGGAGGTGTAATTCGTCGCGACACGTCGTTTATGATCATCATCCCAATTTCAAAACTCTTATAATATCTCTCCATTTCCTTCTGTCTCCTACTTTTTCCCTCTTTGTCTCTCTGTCTACCTAACCTCTTTCTTCGGTTCACGCTTTCGGAGACGGGTTACATGTGCACGCGTGTACGATTGCCTGCCATAGTAAATACGGTTTTTTAGCTTGTACGTGAATAGTGATAAGGATATAACGTGGTGCTATGTTCAGAACATTCCTTCAATTTCGAACCATCTTTGGTTACTTTTACTCTCTCTTTTTCTCTACTTCTCTATCTCCCACTCTTTCTCTGTGTTTACTTGCTTCTATGTGTCCCTTCGTGCAGTACCAATTCTTTCGTGGGTAAAGACACTCCAGTGAATATCGACTATTTTTGTACGAACGTGAATAATTCTAGTTTTTCTTCTTTTTTGTTTTTTTTTTTTTATATTTTTGTTATGGACCAACTTCGTTCGAAGCTGATTTCTTTCTCGTCATTCCTTCGTTTTTGTTTCTTCTTTACCAGCGAACAATTCGAGAAACGTGTAAATTCACTGGTTTGCATTTATTTCCGCCTTTGAAATGTTTCTCCTATCGAGGCATATGATATCGCGCGCGCTTCAGGTATCTAAAATCGTAAATTTACAACCGATTTCACCATTGAACCTTATTATTGTGCGATCGTTAAGAAAATTTCTCACTGTTATCGATATCGACATCGACCGATATATTTTCTGACTACGCAAATCGACAAATAAATTCAATATTTGCTTTAACGCGCGAGTCACTGTTTTATGCGCCAATACTACAGACATCCCAGGAAAAGGTCTCCGTTACTGCGAAACTGTGGTGAAACTGCGATCAGAATTTTTAGAAGTACGTTTATCTTTGACTAATAAAACGTTGTTCTGTCAAAAATGCAACAAAGTCTTTTATTCATTCTTGTCCAAGCCAATAAAGAACTCGTACACACTATAGTCTGTTTTCCCCAAGCTATAGTCCATTTATGATTTTCTGTCGTAACTCTTAGAAACAGTTGCAACGAGACGAATATTTTCTTTCCCCCCTTTAATTCTCCCACACATGCTTTGCGTTTTTTTTTTATCAAAAAAAATACTCAGCTGTTAAGTAACAGTTACGAACCATTTGCGAAGCATACGGAGGCAGAGAAATAATAAA